TTTTCACCTTTCACCCTCCTGTGACCCCCCCCCCCCACCAGCTCCATGTGACCAGAGTGAGGTGGGGGGTAACGCAGGTCCCAGTGGGATGATGTCTGGGTGACAGCACCTGCCATGCACCCCCTGACTGCCTGCCTCCCCTGCAGAGCCAGGGGCCACCCCAGCCCTGCTCCCCTGCTCACGAGTGCCCCTGCTAGCTGGGCAAGGAACTGCCCCCAGGGGCTTTCTGCTGGGCTCTTGGGGGGCTGTGCTGTGGTGCTGCCATGTCCCCGGCAGCAGTGGGGCATGCAGGTGCTGGAAACCCAGACTCAGGTTTTGCAGCTGCAGCAGCAAGCCAAGGAGGCTGTGCGCCAACCAGAGACTGGCACAAGAAGCAAGGGGGGTTCCCACTTTTAGGTAGACAATCCCAGGGGTCAGGGTCAAAAGCAACAGGCCCAAGGGAAGGAGTAGGTAAAAGATAAATAGACCTTAACACTGCGGTAACATCCACTCAGCATCTTCATCCCCCCCACGCCTCCGGAGGTGTCCCCAAACCAGCCTTCCGTCCCCAGAGCGCTCAAACAGCAGCCTGCGGTTGCCTCCAAGTCCGAGTCCAGCTCTTCCCGTCCGCAGCCCTGGCCAATCCAGTCCCACCACGTACCCTTGGGCATCCATCGACCTTGTGTTCCCTTCCCACTGCTCTGTCCTTCTCTTCCTGCCTCTTCCTTTGCCCTCCAGCCCCCTGAGGTTTTCTGGGAGTTGTAGCCCAGGTTACAGTCAGCACGGCTCTGCGCACTGCCCCAGCTGTTACACACGTCCATGCACGTGACAGCGGAGCACAGCTCCCAGCCGCAGGGATACTGCTCCTCGCCCAGCCAAGCTCCTCGTTCTCTCCCCGCAGGGACTCCTTCAAACAGAAATCCAAGAAGGGACGGGACGTGCCAGGCATGGCAGAGAAGCTCAAGTTCACCAAGGTAACTGGGACGGTGCTCGCTGCCCTCACCACAGCCCAGCCACGTGAACCGGGGGGTCTGAAGCAGCCGTGCTAGGGCCCACCCCATCCCAGGGCTCCAGGACCTCAGGTCTGGCGGCCCACAAGGGAAGGGATCCCTGCTTCTTTGCACTGGGGCGAGGATCTAGCTGGCGAGCTCCTGTGACCGGCGTCTGTGAGTGTGGGTAGCTGAGGCTGGGGTGCCAGGGGGCACAGGGCTGAGCAAGGGCTATGCACTTGCTGCCTCCACAGGCCTGGCTCACAGGCACCCCGTAGTGCCCTCCTGCCACCCCAGAGGGTGCCTAGTGCCCCCTCCTGTCCCCCTCCATTGCAAGGACTCCCTGCCGCCCTTGCAACAGGGCCTCGGTGCTCATCCCTTTCTCCTGTGCCAGGTTTACATGCAAGTCCCTACACCAGGTCCCCTGCTCTTGCTCCTGTGCCTGGGCTCTGTGTGTGCTCATGTTCCCCCACTGGAGTCCTCCCCCCAACACCATGCCAGGGGGATCCCTTGTGTCCCTCCTCCCTCCCCCCCATCATTAGTTCTCATTGTTAAGGGGCCAGCGTGGTACTCTCTGGGGACCAGCAGAGCCACTGGTAAGGTGCTGGTGGGGGCAATTGCCACTGCAATGGTTTGTGGACAGCTCCCAAGGAGCTCGATGCTACCTCCACTGAATGGGCACCAGGGGCTGCAGGGAGGAGGAAAAAGTGAGGGCACCAGGTGCTGGAGATTCACTCTCTGCTTCTCCCCTCTCCGGGCAGTCCCCCATCCAGGAGTCGCTGATCGAGTTCACTGACAGCAGCGTGAGCAAGATGGCAGTCGAGGCCTTCCAAGGTACGCAGGGGGCTCTGCCTGGCCTCGCAAGGTCCAGCCCAGCCCAGCCCAGCCCACGCTGGTTATTGGGGGCACCTCAAGCCACCCCAAGATGGGGGCCCCACCTAGGTGTCCTGGGCTGCTCTCCCCTGGGAGCTCAGAAGGGACCCAGCAGGGGCAGTTCGGTCCCATCCTTGGTCTCCTGGAACCACCGCTGCTGAGACATCCTTGGCCAACATGCCCAGGCAGGGGCAGCCTTTCAGGGCAATGCCTGCCTCCAGGACACCCTCCAGCCTCAGCTTCGGTGCTGAGAAACCAGGTGGATGCTCTGTGGGTTTACCCACCTGTGTCCTGCCCAGCACAAGTCCCTGCCCCTCCAGGACCCTTACCCAGGGCCACTTGGCCTCCTGGCACCCTGTGCTCAGGGGAAGGCCATGGCATTGGGACCCAGGCCTGGTGGTGTCAGGGTCTGGCAGTGAGCGAGTCAAAAAGCCTGTGGGGAGCAGGACCGAGGAGGATCCTGCAGCTGGAAGCCAGGGGGAATCTGCCAGGGGGGACGTTCAGAGCCGGGGGGGGAGGAGGGCTGGCAGCACTGGGCTCCATGGGGCCCTCGCCGGCTGTCTAGGGCTGTCACGAGCACACCAGCACGACCCCATTTGGGGACACGGCAACTCTGCCATGTGGCACAAGCCTGAAGGGCCTACAGGGACCCTGTGGGACCAGCTCTGCAGCGAGCCAGCGGCAGGGTGCAGAGCCCTGACGCCACGGCCGGTTTGTCCTTCTGCAGCCGTGATGAAGTTCATGGGTGACCACCCTCTCAAGGGACAGACGGAGCTGGACATTGTCTGTGCCATCTTGAAGGTGAGCAACCAGGCCCTGCCCTGAGCGGAGCCCTGTGGGTGCTGAGTGCCAGGGGACCAGGCTTTGCTACCTGGGAGCCCTGGGGTGCTGGAGGGATGTTGCCAAGGGCAGAGCAAAACCATGTGGCCTTTGAGCAGTCCTAGGACCTGGATGCCCCCCTCCAATGTGCTCCTGGGGTCAGGGGAGGAAGCTGGGGGTGCAGGGGAGCCCCTGGCCACCAGCATGATGCCAGAAACCTGTGCCTTTCCCCCCCCCAGCTGTGTGGTGACCACGAGGCGCTGAGGGATGAAGTCTACTGCCAGGTCATCCGCCAGGTCACCAACAACGCCAGCTCCAAAACGTGAGCGCATGGCTCCCCCTGCTCCCCCCACTCACTGGGCAGCTTGTCCGTGCTTCCTGCTAGCAGCCAGGACTTCGTGTCCTCCATACCTCCCACCCCAGCTCCAGGGGCCCTGAATGGGGCAGCCCAGGCCAGGGTGGCAGCAGTGAGGTCTTCCTCCTGTGACGTGGGGATCCCTCCGTGTCACAGACCCATTCTCCTCCCCTGCTCTTTCCTTCCTCTCTGTCTGTACTCTTCCCTCCTCTTCTCTCTCCTTTCCCCTTCTCTCCCATCAGCTTCTCGTAAC